TTTTAATCTATAAATGAAATTAAATAGACCTAGAAGAATCCAACTGCACGAGTTGCGCTATCTATTTATATCTTTATTTATGTTTATATCTCTCTTATATGGGCATCAGTGGTTTTCGGGAGTCAACTCGACAGTTAATTAGATAGCGTCTAGACTAAAATACACACAAAATGAAGCTACATATTATTGACCCTATGCCCTGTAAATTGTTTATTTTAGATTTTTTATAATTTGGATAAATGTTTTACATTGTTATATAACAAATATGAGAATTTGAGTCAAATCGGTGAACACGAATTTGACAGCTAGTGCCCCTTTAATAAGATGAGTTGTTAAGTGAACAGGGCATTCAAATTTTGAGTATGAGTGATCCTGATGAAGGAAAATTCAGAGACCACAAATTTATAAAGTGTTAGTTTTAAATACACCTGATCGCTATTTGGAAATCTGTGCTGCATGACCTGAGAATCTTCGTCTCTTGAACTTTTGATGTCATACAACAATCACTTTTCCATTGTGGTGTCAAATATTTTCTATTTTGACATCAAAATTTTACAGGAACCTTTGTGATGTCCAGTAATGGCGGACGAATAGAGACAAGGTGTATTTTTTTTAAGGGAAAAGACATAATGTTTTAAGAAACATATCATACCTTGAACTCTTATTTTTTTACAAGCCTGATACAATCTGTCCTTCATATCTGACCTTTCAGTCATAAACTTTACTTATAGTACTTGATTATTCAAAATAAACAAGTATTTACCTGTGAATTTATTATTAATCATGTGATACCAATTTTTCCTGGATTTTCTGTGTTTCAGTTAACTATGAATTTAAGTGCACAACAAAATACAAATTTCCTATAAAACTTGTAAACAGAATTTGTCAAAACCACAAAATCAAGTATCAACAAGGAATTATTTGAATTTGGAATAATTTTGAATTCTGGAATATTGATAACAAATGTATGATGAAAACTAACCAAGTAAATAGGGTTAGCCATGCACACATGGCTCAGGTTAATTTTACTTTCACTGATATTACAGTATGAACTAAGTAACCCCCCCCTTAGCCATGCATGCATGGCTTAGCCATGCATGCATGGCTAACCCTCCTAAATTGGATTAGTTTTCATCATACATTTATTATCAATTTTGTTAGAATTCAAAATTATTCCAGATTCAAATAATTCTTTGTTAAACCATGAAAGTGCAGTTTTTCCTAAATCCACGAAAATTGGTAGACAAGAAAATAAATGAATCCACAGTGTATGGAAATTGTGATTTTTTTTTAAATCAAAGAACATGCTCTGAACAAATAGTATTTTGAGAAATCTACAAATAGTTAAAACTTTGTAGCCAAAAAACATTGAATTATTTTATTATTGGTTACAAGTTAAGATTTTGTGATTAATGTTGTGTTGTTTAGTCTAGTGATTTTTGTATAAGTGTTGTCGTATTAAGATGTTGGTGCTATTTAAATATTGTTAAATTTTGCTGAAAATATGAAAGCTTTTTTAGTTGTTGTTGTACAATTATGTTAGGAAATAAAAAAATGTTTACAAAAATTGAGTAGTTCTATATAAGATCCTTTTACTTTAATATGCAGATTACCGCGTTCCCTGAAACTAGAATTGATTAATCTTTCAACATCGCGTAAAAAGACCTATTTGTGATGAGTCCCTGGAACAATGTTACATGAACAATAACATGTAGTTAGAAGGTACCAATCTCAGTAATCAGAAATTCGAAGATCAGAGTTCGCGAAATGTTTATTTCCCTGGTGGTCCTTGAAGAAAATCGGCTGGTCCTCACTATCACCTCCATTGCAAAATACCAAAGTTGTGTCGGTCCATTGCAAAATTTTGTTGGTCAGTTTTTGCGAACTCTTGAAGATCTTACATAAGCGAGGCAAATCAAAAGCAACAAGTGTATTGGCAATCAAGGAAAGGTTTTAACAGAGAACACTTAAAACTTGGAACATAACTTGGTCAATACAAAGTCTGAACCACAAACCAGGGAAAGATATAGAAGATACTAGGTGTTGCTTGAAAATTACTAACTGGTCATTGTCTCTGCCAACCTGAGTATTACTTAGTGATGTTAATTATATCAATACGAATGTGCAAGTCTGCTCTTCAATTAGTTTAGGACAAAATTGTTTGGGTATGGTTTCATGTTTTGATTCTGACAGCTAGTCATTGTCCCCTGATCTTGGCCATGGTTTTGTATTCAATAGACCATGTGAAGCTTGTCCTTGGTAACCATACAGGATAGTTTAATATGAAAATAAGGAGATGTAGAGACAATCATCCACCAGAGTTCAAGTGAAGTGGATATAAAATTATAGGTCGCTCTACGTCTTTCAACAATAAATAATAAAATGCTGCGTGGGGTGCAGATTAAAAGATACGACTGCAAAGGTCGTACTCTTTTGGGGCAAGTATGGACATTCAAGCTTGATACAGCTCTGAATTTAAATTGTGATTAAATATTTGACACAGCATCGGTTTCTGTCACAGAATTAATGTGGTCAAACAATAATCACTACTATTCATTTATCTGAATCAGCAAAATTGTTAGTAACATTTTTAAATAAAATGACAGCTTCTTATTTGCATATCATCTCAAAGATCCGACATAAATGATACATGTAATTTTAAACATTGTAAGAGAGGTAACTCTTAATGTAAATAAAATGCTCCACTGGGGCGCAGCTTGATACGACCGCAGAGGTCGAACCCTGAACAGTTGGGGCAAGTATGGACACAACATTCAAGCTTGATACAGCACTGAATTTGGATTGTAATTAAATATTTGACACAGCATAGGTTTCTGACACAGAATGAAAGTGGTCTAAGAACTTAAAAAATTTTAATTTACCTATTCAAACCATATCATTATTATTTGCTTTTATATATAAATCAGAAATAACCAATTTAAAATGGAAAATTTTAAAGAAAAAAAAGGAAAAAAAAATCCCCCCCCCCAATTTTTTGAACCCCCTTATGATTCATCACCCCCAAACTCAATCCCAGCTTTCCCTTTGTGGTATGGTACATTGCAGTACAATTTCAGAGAGATCCATACACTTGAACACAAGTTATTGTCTGGAAACTAGAAAAATGCTTGTTTTTTGGCCCCAAATTCCTAAACGTTTAGGGCAATTACCCCCAAACTCAAACCCAGCTTTCCCTTTGTGATATGGAACCTTGCAGTACAATTTCATAAAGATCCATACACTTACACACAAGTAATTGTCCTGAAACTAGAAAAATGCTTGTTTTTTTGCCCTTTTATGGCCCCTAATTACTAAAATTTTGAGGGAATTACCCCTAAAATCAATCCCAGCCTTCCCTTTGTGGTATGGTACCTTGCAGTACAATTTCAGAGAGATCCATACATTTGAACACATGTTATTGTCTGGAAACTAGAAAAATGCTTATTTTTGGCCCCTTATTCCTAAACTTTTTGGGCAATTACCCCCAAACTCAATTCTAGCTTTCCCTTTGTGATATGGAACCTTGTAGTACAATTTCATAAAGATCCATACACTAGAAAAATGCTTGTTTTTTGCCCCTTTTTGGCCCCTAATTCCTAAAATTTGGAGGCAATTACCCCCAAAATCAATCCCAGCACTCCCTTTGTAATATGGAACCTTGTGATACAATGTCAGAGAGATCCATACACTTACACACAAGTTATTGTCATGAAACTAGAAAAATGCTTGTTTTTTGCCCCTTTTTTTGCCCCTAGTTCCTAAAATTTGGAGGCAATTACCCCCAAAATCAATCCCAGCATTCCCTTTGTGATATGGAACCTTGTGGTACAATGTCAGAGAGATCCATACACTTACACACAAGTTATGTCTGGAAGTTACAAAAATGCTTATTTTTGGCCCCTAATTCCTTAACTGTGGGTACCATAACCCCCAAAATCAATCCCCACCTTCCTTTTGTGGTATTGAACCTTATGGTAAAATTTCATTGAGATCCATTCACTTAAACATAGTTAGAGTGCGAAAACTAATGTGTCTTCGGACGACGACGCCGGACGACGACGACGACGACGACGACACCAACGTCATACCAATATACGACCACAAAAATTTTTTTGCGGTCGTATAAAAACGGAAACAAATTAATTTATCAGTAGGAAGTAAAATTGAATATTGCATTGTATAAAGCATTGGTTGTAGTTGATTCAACTACCACTATGCACAAAGAAAGATAACTCCAATTTTCAAAGAAGACTTTAAAATATTTTGAGAAATGAAGGGTAAAAATTGCTTTAATTTATCAGTGGAAGGCAAAATTAAACATTGCAATGTATTTTCTAGGCCATTACTCTCTATTCTTTATTCTTTTTGCCCATTTTTCACTACTCTTTACATTTTAGTACCTCATTAATCTCAAATTTATCAGCAGAGCAGACTTGGCCAAGTTGGGAATTTTCACCTAAAACTAGCATATATTTGACATTTATTGTTTGTACTATAGTCCTAAAATACTTGGTTTTTTTTTGTGGCCCCGAGGTGGACTAGTAACACGTCCGGCAGTCAGATGGTTTTATAGTTTACACCTGAGAATGCATGGTTTACACATCAAAACTTATTAGGTTATATTCAAAATTTCAGCTTTTTACACCCAGCTCCTAGGGATGTGAAACATTGCTCTTACTATGTCTGCCCTTGATATTTTTGGTGCATTTTCTCATGAACTTCATATCAGAGGTTCCAAAATGTGTGGCATCAAGCCTCAAGTGAGGATGCCGCGTTTTATCACAAATTGGCCTTCGACTGATTACCGAATACTTATAAACTTATTATAAGTTAGCAATTATTTACAGCTAAAAAATTACAAATATATACTATTGTATTATGTATACATCTGTGTTGATTGATAGTAATACTTTATGTGTTCTATAATATTACTATGAACAGTACAACACTAAGTGTATACTCACATTCCGAACTAATAGAAATTGGAGTAATAGGTTGAGATCATTATGATATATAGTTTATTTGCTAAATCTAAGCAAAATGGATGAGACACAAGTAGTTCATACTTATTAAGTCTTCTCCGTATTACAATATAAATTTATATACAATAATAACATTATGAGCATGCATGTAAAACGAACAAATTCATTAGATGTTATACGAACTGTAAATAAAAAGGAGAAAAGAAAAAGAAGCAAATCATATTTTTCTGTGATGATGACTAAAATTGACCTATAATGGTTTACTTTTATAAGTTTTGACTTGGATGGAGAGTTGTCTCATTGGCACTCATACCACATCTTCTTATATCTACTTGATGACAATGATTATTAGATATGATGTATATAATATAATAAAATACGAATGAAAGTAGATGCGGTGAATACGTCAGCTAGACAGCAACCCAACATCAAAGAAACCAAATAACATGTTTCTGATATTTCCTATTACAAACTAATATCACGTGATCAACATTTTTGAAGTCTATATTTTTTGTCTTTTTTTCATCACTTCAATAACAACCAAGATCTTCGTGCACGTTAAATTCGTACATTTTTTACATTTTTAAACAACGTTCCATTTTCAATAACGCTTAGAATTTTGTACATTAAGCAGGTGGCGTGAGGATCCAGAATTTTAGAATAAAGGGTGCATGGCCCCTGGCAAGTGGGAAGTAAACGTTGAGAGTGATATTTGTAAAAAGACTGTGCATTTATCTTATATGAATTTACTAAAAGAAAACAACTGCTGTAGTTAAATCCATATTATCATAAGAATTATGATTATTGTGTTTTTTTTATGTCTATTTGTAAACATTAAATGGGCCGATAATTGGTCTAATAAAGTATTCGTATTCGTATTTTTATATAAAGCTCAATAATGCCCCCTCCGCCTCTGCATTAGGTACTCTCCAATTATGTACCTTATTTTTGTCTTCCTCTTCCATGTAATAGAATATTAAAATAAGGAGATAGGGTATGATGCCAATGAGACAGAGCTATCCACCAGAGACCATGCAATTGACGTGGATGTAGGCAACTGAAGATCACCCTACGACCTTCATCTACGAGCAAACCCAGTACCGTTTATTAAACGAAAAAACGGACGGCCTGATTTTTCTAGTATGTTTTTAATGGCCCAAATCTTCAAATGTAAGAACCGTGCAGTTACATGTATATTCGACATGAATCCAAAACGGACCCTTTTGGCTAGATTGTTACAGCTAGTTTACGGACATGGAGTACAGGGATAAAATGGTTAGGCACCAACTCATAGTGGTATTCATGTGAAACAAGTGTAGTTTGGTCATGATCAATATGTTGTTTGATATAAATTTTGCAGTTGACTGAAATTTTGTCTTTCATTCCAACACTTCAAAATAACCACATCATGGAAACATCTCATGCACTTCCATCGTTCATTTATCTGTAGTACGTTCAGCATGTTCATGTAGATATATAGGACCTGAAAGTGACATATACGAACTAATCATCATGAATACTTTTATGTATACCCGTTCCTTGTAAACTTTTTTCAAAAAAATTTATTAGCCAATCATATTTGTGCAAAAATAACTATGATAGAAACAAAATATAAAAAAAAAACATGTTATTTTTTATTGAAACTACGCTACTTTGGAATGTTAATTTATTTGTTTCAGTTACAAATTTACACTTTGAAAAATTAAACATACTGTCCACAATTTAAAATATTTCGGTCGTTTTAAACATTTTTTTCGAGTGGTCTCATAGATGAACAAAATAATACTTTTGACTTGCAATTTTTGTATACTTTTATCATAATAAAAAGAAATATGAAATTTTTAAGTGAGACATAACAAATGAAAAAAAAAACAGTTGTGGGTCAAACCTGTGGAACAGATCTAATTAATTTGCGTCTGCATGCAACTTGGCAAATCTATACTTTTAGAAGCCATAATATAAATGTACCGTTTCTGTTTTTGGTTTTTCAAACATTTGAAGACTATTATCCACTATCTCTAACTTTTCCAACCATTTCAGGTACCGTAGGATTACAGTTTTTTTAATTTCATTCTAATCTGAACCTGAAAATGACCATATTAAAACTAATAATTGTGTCTTTATTTTAAGGCAACAAACATTCAACTATATTGTGTAGAATACTCAATCGCTAAATTGAACACAGTTTGATGCAGCAAACCATACATGGACAACTTATCCTGCAAGATTGTCTTACAATTACATACAATAATATTAATACTATTGATATTTGCCGACTCGCCAGGAAGGAGGGGGAAAAGGGAGAGGAGCGGCGACGTCGACTTTTTTCTGATAGATTTTCTTTTGACAACTACTTTGTTGACCTTGATTAAATATACATATATATTTGGGGGGGGGGGGGGTCTTTTTATTTATTTATTTCTAATAACAGTTTCGTTGGACAAGACATATATTACTACTAACGATGCTAATAAATACAAATTTCCTTTACAGTACATATTCTGATTAAAGATGTTTATTCCTGTCAGGAACAAATACTGTAATATTTCTTCCAAAGACATAAACCTCCGAGATTATTTTCTTTTTCTTTTGGTACTAATATTCGTCAAAGAACTCGATTCTATATTCCATGACAAACACCTATACCAAATGTGTCCGCTAAACACTTGCATCTTTCTTAACATCCATTTCAGTATACGACAGAATATATTACATGAATATGAAGATTACTATACGAAATCACACTTTTTTCAATACTTCACAACTTGTAGTTAACTTAAATTTAAAACATAATAAAGGACATTTAATAGGGTTTATATATACTACATTCTCGTTCATGTAATTTTTTAAATTATAAGGAAAGTATTCCTACCTTGTTTTCTCCCATTCATCCCGGCATCTTCTTCTGTAATGAATAACCCTAATCATGCCCAAGTATTTATACCCACGTAAATAATCGTATATAGTACGTTTAAATGTATTGCGTATAGATCAAAACGATGTTGAAACGTTTGTTATAAATATAGATATTACAGGTAAATATTTGAAATGTCTGTCATTGCGTAATATAGATAAAAATACCATAATAATCTTATATTTCTATTAGAAATATTCTGTCTTTTTGAAATGAGGCACTTATGATAAAAAATATCATTACCGTATCACCATGGTGATACGGTCTGATTAGTCAGAGGCTGGACGTCTGGAATGTGGTAAATCTGTTAACGGTATCTCATTGGTTATAAATAACATTAAATGGCTGCATCTCAGCTGCTTCCGGGCTGCTTCTGGGGGTAGTGAAGGATATCTTGACGTCTGATTGGCTATTATTGAGTTGTATGCATTATATGTCAACGCGTCCGTAAGTGGAGTCGGAAAAAAATCATGATAGTAGGTCATCGGTAGAAACTATAATGAAGTGTTCAATTGCTATCATAATTTAAGCCAAATTTAGTTCACGAAGCCCTGTCAATTTGAGTAAATAATATCATTCTGTGATAATGAAATTTATGTTATCTTGAAATTTTCTTGCAATTTTGGTACAAAGGTGTGTATTTATGGATTATTAATGTCATGTACAAGAATTACGGACATTTCAAGGCGAGATAACTCGTGTTACTTTTCTATTCTGGTTCCCATCTTGTTCTCATCGTCTGGTGACCAGTAGATAAGAATAGATAACTCCCCTAAACGAACACCCCGCCAATAGATGTCACTTTGACGTTATGCCTATAGGGTAATTTATGATATTAGTTGTTATACGATAATTCCGAACGCAGTTGGATTTAAGAAATTAACCCCGCGTACACTATACACAGATGAATGATGAAGAAATTGCCGATAGGAAAGAAATAATTAAAAAAAGAAAAGTTTTGCATGCCCTATGATGTAGAAAGAATATTTTCTGTTAACGATGGTTCAAAAGAGATACGTTTACATGTTATATTATTTCCTATATTTATAATATATGTATATCTCTTGATCAATACTTTTTTAAATTTTTTTTCTTAATCTAGTAAATTTTTTTATTGTATGAAATTTGTAACCCTGTTTATACTACACACGACCTTTTCGGAAGCTTTAAGATAGTCCAAATAATTTATCATCGGTGTTTCTGATTTTAACAAGTTCAATAAAAGCCGCAGGCAAACTGATCTATCCTTGTAAATTTCTTTTAAATCGGGTTAGATGAAAATCCAATATACAAATCCTTTCAACATCAAGCAGGCTTTCAAGCAGGCTTGAGTATTATCTAGATTATGTTTTATATAAAAGAAAAATAGCATTTTACTCTTCAACGTGATTCTGGAAAAGGATAGACAATTTATGAATATGACGAATACATAATCTTTCAATCAGTTTAATTGAAGTGTGGAGCTGGCATGTCAGTTATTGCTGTAGTAGTCCTTTAGTTAATTTATCATGTATCATTGCCATTTTGCTTAGTGTCTTAAAAGACTTTTGTTATCCATTCTGACATCGGACTCGGACTTCTTTTAAACTGAGTTTTACTGTGCGTATTGCTGTGTTTTGTTTATTCTACATAGGCTAGAGGTATAGAGGGAGGGTTGAAATCTCATAAACATATAAATAAAAGCTACAGAAGGCAATATCATAAATATGACAAGATGTACATTTTTTTACTGTCAATTTTAGATTTTATTTGATATGGGTAGTCACATGTATTCGACATTGACATTGTATAAGCCAGATGTATACTCCATGCTGAATTTTATTTGATCTATGTAAGACGTAAACTCATTAACACCTGTGGATTAAATTGTAATATTTTCCTGTCCTCTAGGAACATAAAACTTACATAATTCACTACCCTTAATTAGACATAGATATCAGTAAATAAAACCGCAGACTTTCTCCTTAAAGTTTAGTGGTTTGTACATATAATGAAGGTGTGCATGTGGTCAGGGTTTAGTATTTGCTCTTTTGGGAGATAGTTGAAGTTATTTTAAAATAACACTTTGCATCTGCGGGGGCATCATTTGTTTCTCCCAGACACAATTAAATCTCAGATAAAGTTCTACATTATCTTTGTTATGATACAGTGAAGTGCGGGGCATCACTTTTTCTAGTTAATTTTATAATTATTTTTTTGTTGTAATTAATCTTATTTAAAAATATTCGTTCATATTTCAGCCGTATCTCAATTTTTTTTTACTTTATAAAATTAGTTTATATGTGTTACCCTATATTTTTATGTGTAGAATACTCTTAAACATTTAAACATAAAAGTAGAGGGCAACATACATAAATTATTATTGTTAAATCGCATTGATAAGAGTTTGAACACTTAAGACAAGGTAAAAAAGTTGATGTGAAAAGACTACATTGTATTTTCAAATTATAAATTAACTGCAAAAAATAAAAAAGGGGGTCTCCCAACAATCTCTTTTGCATGGACTACTATATTTTCAATATAATACTTCAATGATCAGATAAAATAGTAACATATGGTATTGAATAGTGATACCGCACCGGAAAGGATTTGCCGTGGCACCATGGGACGCTTAAACAATATACTATGTAAATATTGACACATTCGTGTTTATATGTTAGCTGAGATCGATAATTATGGAGCTTTTCTTAAAAAGGACCTCGATGTTTTTCGTCATTTGTATTATTAAACGACATTTTATGAATATACTAAACAAGGATTTGTATAGTACTATACAAATCCTTGTACTAAACAATAAGATTAATGTATGAAGGAGAACATAAAGATAGCATATCCTAACAATGATTTTGATGCTATGATATCTTACTGTATACATTCAAAATACTTGCATTTACTTCTCTGATCATTTCTTATAATGATAAGATAGAATTTTCATTAAACAAAACTTGTATAAAATTTTGTATGTTTTGAATAACATTAAAAATTGCACGTTGTCATCTTTTCTATTTCAATTTAGTTTTTCAGATTTCGTAGACATTTTTTTTCATTAATACAATCTTGCAATTGTGTATTCAAATATTTGATAATTATAATATAATTACTCAAATCAAAATAAGATTAATTAAACAGAGCCTTTAAAAAAAAACGGAAAAAAAACCAACACTTTTTGCATATTTTTCTTCAAGATGTCAACAAAACCACACTACTTTTAAAATTTTGATGTTTAAAGAACTCTTTGGTATAATAGAAATTAATATATTGTTTAAAACCTAACTAGATATTTAAAATGATGGATGTTATTAGAAAAGAAGTTCACATCATAAAAATGAGAATTCAACTAATAAACAAGACCAATTTGTCTTTTAATACGGTCAATCGTAGTTGAATGAATATACATCGTATTCATAAATAATGAAGTTTCACTTTCAAATGCTTAGGGACAACAGTAAACATTATTTTAGAATGACGATTCTTATACCATTTGATAGGAAAATTATTTGCCAATACTGTATAATTTGTTAATTTGATTTACAATAAAAAATGAATTTAATATGAATTTTTATAAAATATGTATACCTCGTAATTTAACATATCTCAACCAAAAGAGAACCCGACGTTCAACATGATAGGGACACCAGTAAATATCAAGATAAAGTGGATTTTATTACACCATTTCAAAGCTAAAAAAATGGTGAGATCTCTATAATTTATTAATTTTATATGAGATTTATAAAATAGACATAGTATTCATTTATTTAGCTAGTGGTCATAATTCCCCATAGACAATAACGTTAAAAAAATTTCAATGATTACGGTTCTCTGTGTGGTAGCTGATAAAGCCATCCAGCTGAGCTGTCCGCAATTCTTGTGTATGTCTTTCAAAAACAAAACAATAATACATCTAGTCTTCACTTTGTAGTGCGTATTGAAACATATTTTGCTATATTTCTTCATAAACTATAATTTTAAATAGTAAATACACAAAACGTGTGCTCTATGATTAAAAATGTTATCTCATATTTTTCATTGCTTGAAGATATTGATTAGAAAATATTCAAATCACGGAATTTACCGTATGGATACGAAGATGTCCTTTCGTTTCCCGCGCATTCACCGCTTCATTGATTTCTGATGTAAACAAAACAGACAATTGCCGATAAACAGCTGATTAGAAGAATAGAAAACAAACAAGGTGAGTAATATGGTTGCGTGTGCGCAAGGAAGCAAACACCAAGCATCACGGTTTAGTTATGGGCAAGGGTTTCAGTACACTATAGTTTGTTTAATGACCCCTCTAGCTGGACGTCTACGACTATAGGTGAAATTAAAAAAAAGCAGCAATGAGCAATTTGAATTAATATGTCTGAAAACCCAAGATATTTGCAACACAGTGAGGTCCCAAATGATGTTCGCATGTGGGGTAGACAGTTTAATGTACTCGTACATGTTCATTTATTCTTTGGAGTCGTTGTACACCCCAGGCGGATCCGAAAGGGGGGGACTGGGGGGCCACCCCTCCCCTTGGTTGATTATATAGGCCCCTCTTTATGAAAAGTTCTGGATCTGCCACTGTACACAGTGGCGCTCAGCAGTCATTGTTAACTGATATATCAACAGCACTGAGAACTGCATTTGATATAGATAAATCCAATTCTAATTTGTTCACATTACAATGTATCAGGTCTTACAATAAGTATATTTCGTCGTGATGATAATTACTATTTGCTTTGATCACATGCTCGAGATATTCAAGGTTTCCTATTTTCAGATGGTGCTGCTATTTTGCTAACATTTTCAAATCTGAATGAGCTGATGCTATATGTATAATCGTCAATATACAATGGTGCTGAGTTTAATCTATCGGCTGTATTTGTATAAGTATTTGTAATATGTGATATTGGCAGATCGAACTGACTATGTAAAGGCTCTAGTTTATGACTTGAATGCGTTAACAATGATGGTGGTTGATAATGAAATCCAGATCCAGGATGTTAATCCAAAACCGAACCGGTATTTTACGTATATATATTAGAATTCATTCTCCTGAACATAGTACCCATACATAATAACCATACACCTAATCGCTTTATGGAA